TTATTATGCACATATGTACCAAATGGCAGAGCATCCAAATTCTTAAAGGAAAAGTTAAATAAATTTCAGGAGGAAATAAACAGTAAAACTGTGTAGTGGAAGACCTCAACTATCCCTCTCAAAGGTAGATAAATCTAACCATAAAAATAAGAAGAAGTGAAGGAGATGAATAGACTCTTAGAAAGTTAGAGATGATAGACCTCTGGAGAAAATTGAATGGGAACAGAAAAGAGTATCAGCTACCTTTTTCTCAACTGTACATAGCACCTTCACAAAAATTAACCATGTATTAGGACATAAAACTCCCACAAGCAAATGCAGAAAAGCACAAATATTAAATGTATGTATCATTTTCAAACCTTAATGCAATAAAAAAAAATTACATGTAATCATTTAATAAAGTCATGGAAGCACAGCTTAAAAGTTAACTGGAAACTAAATAATCTAATCTTAAAGAATGAGTGGGTCAAAGAAAAAATTATAGAAACAGTTTCATTAAGGAGAATATCAACAATGAGACAACATCCCACAATTTTCGAGATGCAGCCAAAGCAGCATTTAGGAGAAAATTTTTCCCTCTAAACACTTACATCAATAAAAGAGAAAAAGAGCCAATCAACAAATTGGGCATGCAACTAAAAAAACTAGGAAAAGCACAAATATTAAATCCCCTATCAAATACCAAAATGGAAATTCTGAAAATCAAAGGGGATTAATAAAATTGAAAGTAAACAAGCCACCAAACTAATAAATAAAACCAGGAGCTGGTTTTAAGAAAAAAAATCAATATAATAGAAAAAACATGGGTTAATATGATTAGCAAAAAAAGAAGAAAACCAAATTAGTATCAAAAATGAAAAGGGCAAATACACCACCAATGAAGATGGAATTAAAGCAATTATTAACAGTTATTTTGCCCAATTACATGCCAGTAAAACTAATACTGAGTGAAATGGATGAATATTTACAAAAATATAAACTGCCCAGATTAACAGAAGGGGAAATAGAATACTTAAATAACCCTATCTTAGAAACTAAGAAACTGAAGAAGCCATCAATGAACTCCCTAAGAAAAAATCCCCAGGACCAGATAGATGTTAAGGAAGGCAGTCTAGCAGTTCCTGATTCAAACTATATTACAAAGTGGTAATCATCAAAACAATCCGGTACTGGCTAAACGACAGAGTAGTGGATCAATGGAATAGATTAGGTGCACAATATATAGTAGTAAATGACCATAATAATCTACTGTTTGATAAACCTAAAGATTGGGCTGAGAACTCAACATTTGACAAAAACTGCTGTGTAAACTGGGAAGCAGTTTGGCAGAAACTAGGCATAGACCCATACCACAATAAGGTCAAAATGGATAAATGATTTAGACATAAAGGGTGATATGATAAATAAATTAGGGGAAGCATCGAACAATGCACATCAGATCTACGGATAAGGGAAGAGTTTATGATGAGACAAGAGATAGAATTACAAGAAGCAAAATGGTAATTTTGATTACATAAAATTATAAAGCTTTTGCATGAACAAGACTAATTCAGCCAAAATTAGAAGGAAAACAAGAAACTGAAAAAAAGTTACGGCAAGTTTTTCTGATAAAGGCTTCATTTCTCAAATATATAGGGAACTGACCCAAATTTATGAAAATAAGAGCCTTTCCCCAATTGACAAATGGTCAAAGGATATAAACAGGGAGTTTTCAGAAGAAGAAATCAAATCTATCAATAGTCACGTGAAAAAAATGCTCTAAATCACCTATGATTTTGTTGTTGTTGTTTTTCCAATTATGACCAACTCTTCACGGCTCCATTTGGGGTTTGCTTTGGCAAATCTATTGGAGTGGTTTACCATTTCCTTCTCCAGCTCATTTTACAGATAAGGAAATTGAGGCAAACAGTAAAGTGACTTGCCCAGGGTCACACAGCTAGTGTCTGAAGATGAGTCTTCCTGACTCTAGGCCCAGCACTTTGTTCATTGTGCTACCTAGCTGCCCTTCACACCAATTAGAGAAACGCAAATTAAAACAACTCTGAGATACCAACACACCTATCAGATTGGCTAACATGACCAAAAAGGGAAATAACAAATGATGGGGGCAACGTGGAAAAATTGTGACACCAATGCACCTTTGGTGGAGTTGTGAACTAGTCCAACCATTTTGGAGAACAATTTGGAATTACACCAAAAGTGCTATAAAACTGTGCATATCTTTTAACCCAACAATTCCACTACTAGGTCTGTATCCCAAAGAAATCAAAGAAAAGGGAAAATTAACTATTTGTAACAAAAAAAAAAATTGGGCAGTGGGGAGAATGCTACTTGCCTGGCATATGTTACATGTCTCCCTCAGGGCACCTTGCTGCTTTAGGTGGATGGTTTGCCTGCCCCACAGATGGCAGTTGGTAGGCAAATGGTTTTCCTGCCTCAAGCCAATCACATCCAACCAATTCCACCCAGCTGCTAAAGTGATTTTTCCTAAAGTGCGCATCTATGTCATTCCCCTACTCATACTCCAGTAGCTCCCAATTACTTGAAGAATCAAACATAAAATTCTATTTGACATTTAAAACCCTTCACAACCTGAGCCCAATCTACTTTTCCAGTCTTATTATACATTACTCCACATTATTTCACATACACTAGTCTAGCCAGACTGCATTCTTCAGTGTTTCTCATATACAAAACTTGGTATCTCCATGCCTAGCCCCTTCCAATCTTTCTAGTCTTCTTACGCCTTACTCCCCAACACATACTCTTCCATCCAGTGATATTGGCTTCCTAACTATTCCCTAACAAGACTATTTCTTGGGTACAGCTATTTTTCTCTGGCTATTACCATTTCTGAAATACAATTCCCTCTTCCACTCTGACTACTGACCTTCCTGACTTCAAGTCCCAACCAAAATTTCACCTGCTACAGGAAGCATCTCCTAACCCCTCATAATTCCAGTGCCTTCCCTATTTATCCTGCACATAGATTACTTTGCATATAACTGTTAGCATGCCTCTTCCATTAGACTGTAAGCTCTGTGAGGGCAGGGATTGTCTGATTTTTTGTTTCCTTAGCACAGGGCCTTGGCAGACAGCAGGAGCTTAATAAATGTTTACTGAATGAGTACCTGGAACACTTCCTCGTCACTTCAATCTTTCAAAATTTCTAGTTTCCTTCAAGGCTTAGCTCATCCCACTCTTGCAGGCCGGGCCCTTCCATTCAAATTACCTTGTATCTTTTGTGTCTGTGTGCATCTCACACACAGATACAATTTCCCTTTTGTCTGTGGCATGTAGTAGGTATTTAATAAATGCTTGTTGATTGATTTTAATACTAAAGTCTAAAATTTGATAATAGTTTTAAATGGAACAGTACTGTCCAAGAGGCAGGAAGGAGAATCAGTCAACAAATCTGAGTGCAAAGGTCATTGTTGTTTGTCCTCGGTTCTTGAAGGTCTCCATTCACCTGAGGCAACGTCCATTCAGTGATTAAGGCTAGATGAGGACCTAGACAAAGAATAGCCTCTTTTACTGACCTGGGAAAAACAGTAACTTAAAAAGGCCAAGGTCTCCCACTGCAACCAGGGCCATCTCCAGTTGTCCTGATCCATATCCTGCCACTGGGCCCAGACAGCTCTAGATGGGAAAGTGAGATTTGTGACTCTGCACAACTTAAATCACTTAAATCCAATTCATTTGCAAGGTACGGCATCACCTTCCTATTGCCATAGTCTTCTTTGAGAATGAAGGACAAACAACAACCCATAAGCGGTAGGAGCTGCCTGATTAGGGACTTAACTAGCCAGTTCCAGTTGGGCAATGTGGCTGGCTCCTTCCTTCCTTCTCTCCCTCTGCCCACAGAGAGTATCAAACCCTTACCTGCAATTGCTCTGCCCAAAGGAACGTACGCTTTGATCGCTGAAAACTCACAAGATATCTTGGGATTTATGGGTTAGATTTCTTTCTCAAGGACCATGCTTTAAACTCAAATCACTTTGGCTCTCCTTGGCCAACAACAGTTCCCAGACCAAACCTCACTTGGTCATAGTTTGGGCCCTGATGGCCAAGTGTAAATAGCAATTGGTTCTGTTTTGGTCAGAAACCCTGAGGGTCCTTCCCTCCCAGATAGATTTTTTTTTAACTAGGTAAAAGAAGCCATTCCTCGTCTCGTATCTTATCTAGCCTTAATCAATGAACGTGTGTTGCCTCAGTCAAACTGAGTGCAAAAGTATCTAACATTAGAGGAGCAGAAATGAACCCAGATAATCCACAAGCCCAATAATTAGCTCGGAAATGGAGCAAAACAAACCCTCTGAAGCACAGCATAAAACACACTAACTTTTGTTAGTGTACCAATTCAAGCATTTTTTGAACTCTATAAAACCATTAATAGTTGATTTAATACTACTTCCTAAAGTGCTTAAATTTCTGGCATAACGAAGTACTTTTCCCGGTGTATAATATGCTGGACACAACAGGAAAGGCATGCCTCCAGTCTCCATAATCTCTTCTCCCTGAAACAGTCATCAAGAAACCCAACTTCCTCATCAAAAACTGGGCAAAGGAAAGTAAGAAAATCCAGATTATAAAGACTCAATAACCCATTCTTCTTGGAAGTCTAAAAAATATCCCAATGAACTAGCTAGCATGGTCCTATTTTGAAAAAGAGTGTTAATGAGTACTGTTTTAGAGGTCTGATTTTATATCATTGTTGCAAGAAATTCCTCATGAGGGAATTCCCTTCCCCAACGCAGATTGGCAAATGTTCTACAACTATAGTCTCCAGGAGTTGCCAGATGAAATAAAAGGTTAAGTGACTTGTCCAGGGTCTCACAGACAGGTAATGTGTCATATTCAGCACTTGAACCCAGATCTTCTGAACTCTGAGGCTAGTCCTCTGATGCTAACCCTTAGTTTACTACTTTTTAAAAATCCTAATTGACCTTCTAAAGCCTGATTTTTAAAGAAAAAACATAAAATTTTTTAAAATACAGTTTATTAAAATACCAGCTTAAATAATGCTTTTATCAACTCCAAAAGCCATAAGCCAGGCCTAGACAATGGAGCTAAAAACTTTTTCCATAATTATACAAAAACCTCATAATAATGAGTCTTCAAAGAAACTGCCATCATTCCTACTTGGTTCAATGTTATAAAATTAACATTTTATCTTCCAACTCCATCCTACAGGCAGACATCAGAATTTGGCAAGAAGCAGACCAGGTCCGTGGCTTCAGATAACAAAGCCCAGCTTCTATCTGCCTTTCTTCATTTTGGCTATCTTCTCTTTGCGTTTTTTCACATGCTTGGGGATTTTGTTTTTTCTCTTTTCTCTCTGGGCCTCTTTCACCATCTTCTTTCTTTCCTGTAAAAGCCATTTAAAATTGGTTACAAACTGTTTTCATAATGAAAATTCTTATTTATTAAAGACTTACAAATACTATCCCTCCAAGTTGTATTTCCTCACAAAAACTCAAAGTTGCAAAACAATAAAATATATTTTTCATTTTGGTAACATGTATCATTAGTTAGTCAAGCATCTCAAACAAGAGTATGCCATACTTTACGGTGCCTGTGAGCTCTCTTTAAGTAACGCCCAGGCAGGTCCTGGCAGAAGAAGAATCTGTAAATAACACTGACACCTAAAGCAAAGCCCACATTTATGAACTGGAACAAAGATAAAATCTACTTGTCACGAGTTTCAATTCAATTCAACAAACATTGATTAAAGTACCCATAATAACTGATAGAACTCTGTGCTGAGAGAGGCCACTCTCCTCAAGTTTCAGTCTAGTAGAAGGCTAATGCGAGATATTCCAAGACCAATGAAACAAAAGTGCCACGTGATATCGGAGAGGGAAAAAAAAGCAACCTGCTTTCACAAACTCATCACAAAGTCCGAATGACAAATCACGTCACACAGTCCATCAAGGCAGGACAAATGCCATTTCCTTTCGCAGATAGGGAAATGAAACACAGGGAAATGACAGGGCTTGCCCAAGATCTCACAGCTGCTAAGTATTATGGCCAAGGTTTGAATCCAGCTTTCCTCACTCCAAGTTTAGGACTTTTTCATTTACACCTTGACTTCAATGGCCTTGACCTGAACAAGTTGCTCAAATCGTCAAACTGCAGACCTGTATGTAGAAAGGAGAAGACACAAACTGACCTTTTTGTCCATTTCAGGGTCAGTGAGATGATTCCTGGGATGGGGCTGATCTCCATGCCCTTCAGAGTCAGGGTCCTCAGAACTACTAGCATCATCTGAATCAGAATCCACCTCCTCCTTGCTTTGCTTTTCCAGGAGTGCAGGGACCTTGATAGTACCATAAAATCAAGTTATACTAAGCCAAATTATTCCATGTTTACATCAGAGATATACTGGTTCAAAAGAAACTATGGAATTTAAAACAAACAAATTTACAAATATACTCTGAAAATTTGGCCTTCTTTGCCTTTGCTTCCATCCTGAAAACAAAATCTGGGATGAAGCTCAGAAGCATAGAAAGAACCCATTAGAGTCAGGCTCAAGGACACATACAATGGGCTGATAAAGGTAAGAAGAAAAGCCATCAAAAAAATGTCAGAAGATACTCTCTTCACTCTGCAGTGGTTCTCAACTATTTCTCCAATCCCACTGTCCTACTCACTAGAGGAAAAAAATAAAACGAATAAATAATTACACACACACAATTTCTGGAAAGCTGATACTATTTTTTGGATAATTTATTTTTAGTTTTCACACGTTCACTTCCATAAGATTTTGCGTTTTAAGTTTTCTCCCTCTCCCACTCCTCCACCCCCCAAATGGAGTACAACTGATACTATTTTTTTTTTTTTAAAGAAAAACCAATGAGGTGGTTGCTATTTTTTATTATGGCCAGGAACTCTAGATATTTGTAAGCATTAGTATACTAATCCAGACCACCTGAAGACTTCTTTGGACAATCAGTGGTCACTTAGACATCCTCGGACGGTAACTATCCTCAGGTAGAGATTGCAAATGCAACCATACTTCAGAAATATAGAAGGATAAAGAAACAACCCTCAAAAATACAATTCTGGGGCAGCTAGGTGGCACAGTGGATAGAGCACTGGCCCTGGAGTCAGAAGGACTCGAGTTCAAATCCAGCCTCAGACCAAACAATTGACACTTACTAGTTGTGTGACCCTGGGCAAGTCACTTAACCCCAATTGACTAAAAAAAAAAAAATTCTGAGAAAAGTCAAGGCCTCTCCAAAGAGCAAGCATTAATAATCAGAAAATTTATACTTCTTGCGAAAACAATTCTATAGATATTTGGGGTTGACAAAAAGAAGGCAATGTGGGGGCAGCTAGGTGCCGCAATGGATAGAGCTCCAGCCTTGGAGTCAGGAGAGCTGAGTTCAAATCCGGTCTCAGACACTTGACACTTACTAGCTGGGCCCTGGGCAAGTCATTTAACCCCAACTGCCTTCCCAAAAAGAAAAAGAAAAAAACCAAAACCAAAACCAAAAACAAAAAAAACAACCCAAGAAGGCAATGTCAAAACCAAACCATTCTTTAAAAGAAACTGAATTTATAACATGAGGAAGTTTTACATCATTATTATTATTTCCTTTTGCTTTTTAATGCATAAAAGAAAAAAAATTGTAAGGACACTTTCTGACCATGAAAGAACTGATCTGCAAAATACCTTTGCGGTTTCTTCCATCATAGCAACAAAACTTAACATGCTTTGGAATGCAAAGCCCATCTTGCCTAGAGAGTCAGCTCTTTGTGGCCTCAGAATGCAGCACCCTGGAATCTCTCATTCACCTTTTCCCACACTGAAGTTTAAAAGAAAAAAACAGCAACACCCTGCTAGATTTCCAGGAAGGAAATCCTGCAATGTTCACAGTAAGTCTCTAATTAAGGAGATAAAAGGAAAACTGGACTGCTTTTATTCTGGGCTAAAATACATAAATTAGAATTACTTAATCCCAGCCCTCCTAAAGAGCAAAGCCAAGCTATGGGCTCTGTCTTCCATGGAAAGGATGAGAGGCTCTCCCTAAGCAATACAGAAACACGTGGCCAATGAGCTCACCCCTCCTATGCAAGTTCACACCTGTCCACACTAGCAAGTGCATCCTAGTTTGAGTCTACAGACTTCAACAATCTTTTACATTAACAGACTTTAAAATCTGCAATGAAACTACAAAAGGTAATAAGGCGATACCTCAAGGACACAGGGTTTTTTCATCAATATGGGGTTCCCTTCACTGATGTAGACCCCAAATCACTCCAAGCTTTAACACATGGTCTTGGTAAGTTGCCATGACTATAAAAATTCACCATCCTAGACCAATCTTCTCATGAAAGATGAGTCTTTCCAACTTGGTTAGGCGTTACCAGAGTTTGTCATCTGCTGTTATAGCACCTTTGAGAACCCAAGGTCTGCCTCCCAACCATCCCCCAAATCCCTCCTTGCTAAGATAAGGCATCAAAAGAGGACTTTAGTGGAAGAACAAAGTGATCTATAAGATTAACTGCCACCACTAATTCCATTTCACAGAAAAGAAAACAGAGGCACAGAAAGTAAATACCTCACAAAACAATTCAGGGACAGAGAAAATACAAAACCAGAAAATACAAACCCCACCTTTTAGCTCTAGGAGGAATCTTAATACAAGAAAAGAGAAACAGACATTTTGCTTGCCTTTCCTGAAAGTCCTGAAGACTTAGAAAGTATTTATATTTTTAAATTTTCTCTGAGTAGAGTTTTCTAATTATTATATTGACTAATTCTAATAACATACATCTGTAGTGTTTTATACACTTCAAAGGACTTTCACATATATAAAAAGCAGTATATACTCTTACCTTTTGAACTCCTGACAAGTCTTTCTTCAATCCTGTCACAGTCTGATACAAAATCTGGCACAAGAAAAAAAAAAGCAACGGAAATTCAATGAAAAAAGCTAAGATAAATCAACAGAAGCACAAAAACAGTCATTTATCTCCTCCAAAGCATTATCTAAAACCAATGATGTCAAACTCAAACAGAAATGGGGCCACTATACCTTACATAAGGATCCTTGTAGATTACATACTGACCTAGAAAACCATACATTAACATGATGTTCTATTGTATTTTTATTTATTTTGATAAATATTTCCCAATTACATTTTAATTCATTTACGGCAGCTGCTCCATGAGTTTGACATCTCTGCTCTAAACCATGGAAGTGAAAATGCATTTATCTGTCCCAATTATAAACCTACCCTACTATTTTCAAATCAACTAACTAGTAAGCATTTATGGAGCACCTATATGAAAGATATCATGAGTTATACTATGAAGTAGTATCTGTTAAAGAATGACTTGAATGTAGGCAGAGACAAATTACTTCTCAAATTCCCAAATAACACAAATCTGGGAAGACTAGCAAATGCACTGAATGCAAGAATCTAAATCTAAAAGAACCTCTACAATCTGAAATAGATAGCTAAACTCGGACGAAAGTTAATAGTGGCAAGTGTAAAGTTCTACCTTTAGATGAGGAAAAAAACCCAACTAGACACAGGACTCAAAAATTATTGGCCAGAAAGCATTTCATATTAAAAAGACCTATGGATTTTAGGAGGCTGCACGCCTCAAATGAATTGGCAATGAAGTGGTAGCCAAAATATTAACAGCAGTGTCCTTATTGAGGAAGGTGATCCATGGTACCACCATGTTCTTTCTTGGTTAGATTATATCTAAAGTATCGCGCCCAGTTTTGGTATCACATTTCATAAAAAAGACAAGCAACCAGGAAAGGGAAATCCAAATAGCAAAGGGATTAAAAATTCTACCATAAGAACTGGAAAAATCAAAGAAGACTTAAGGGAGAAATAACAGTCTTCAAACACAGTGATGGGAATTAGATCCATTAATCCCTGGAAGGCAAAACTAGACCAACTGGTGGAAGCGACAGGGAAAGCAGCTTCTGGCTCAACATAAGGAAAAATTTCTTAATCAGAGTTATTCAAATATTCTGCCGAGGGCATAAGTTCAAAAAGAAGTTTGATGACCATTTGTCAGGGATGTTGTGGAAGGGATTCATAATTCAGGGAGAGGGTGGTCTGAGTGAACTGGAGTCCTGTTCTTCCATAATAATCTCTGCCCCTTACAGTAGATGAGTATACAAGACTAACATGCATGGAAAATGTGATGAGCAGGGTATATAACAACATATAATTAAATGCTAAGTTGTGGTTTAACCTTTCCCTGGTGCAAATTCACCTTAAATTAAAATCAATGGGCCTTTTTTCTTTCATCATACAAACATTTATTGATCACTATTGTGTCCTAAGTACTGGAGGGGGAAGGCCCACAATGCAATAAGAAGACAATGTAGTGCTTTCCCTTATGAGATTTGTAATTAGAAGAAAAGTGGTAAACAAGAACAAAGGGATTCATTACCAGACCCAGTAAAAGAGCGTTAAAGAGGAAAGTTTCATTGTTAAAGACTCCAAAGAGGTCAGCCTACTTCCTCCATGCCTGCTAAAGCATCTTGTACATGTCTTACTGTCATAGAAAGTCTACAACATAAATGTTAAACTTGATCCCAATATCAATTACAGTCCTGGAGTTCTAAGTCCCTGTCCTGTGAGCTCCCATCCTGCCTACTTACATTATCCTGCTGCACATTCAAGGCCATGTCTTCCTCCTTCATCTTCATCATTAGATCCACATCCCTCTCATAATTTTTAACTTCATTCAAGGTTCTGGGAATATAAGCTCGTTTAAATACCTGGCCACAATAAAAGAGAAAACAAAACCATGAATGTTATCCAGCACAGAGTGATCTTAACTATAAAACCTAGAACCCTTGTTCATTAAACTATACTATGTCAGTGTCTCAGTCTGACATAAGTATATGTCATTCTCTTTTTAGGCAACTGGGAGTGTCCTTACCACACTTCCATGATGTTAAAAGCTTACTTAAAAAAAAAAAAGTAGGGTTATGTAATTATTCTCAAGTTGCACACATTCTAACATCCATTATTCAAATGGAAATAAAAACAAGTTCTTCTAAATTCACATTTTTAACTGGAAACATTTCCTGCTGCCACCCCCACCCCCGAATCACACACACCTAACATCCTAGTTATTATTTGTCCCCTGCAAAGCTTGATTATGGCTTTATGTTGCTGCTGGGAATAGCATAACCAATTATATAGCACAACACATTAAAAATGGACTGTTTAAGTTTATACAATACTTTAAAAGCAAAAGAAACATTACTTCTAGAGTTTTAATGTTCCAAGTGATGCCAAAATTCCAAGCATAAATTTTTATCTACTAAACTTATATATCCTAAATAATGAAAATTATTTCAAATCTAAGTATTTTCTAGGGTAAAGACAAGATGATAAATAAAAAAGCTTACTTCTTCATCCACATGATCTTGATTGGATCTTTGTTCCTCCGTCCTTTGGGCTGCTATTTCCATGGCCTTTCAAAATATAAGGAAAATTTACTTTCCTTTGTACTCCAACTTACTAATTTCAGTATCATTTCTCTCTTCATTCTTTTTTCCTCTGAACCAGGGACCAAACAGGTAAAATACTTTGGCCTTCAGTGACCTCTAGTGGTAATGGACATCTCTCCATCACAGAATGATGAACATTACTAATATTAACTCAGTGTACAAAGTGGCAAATGAAACTTCACTTCCAGCTCAATCTGCCTAAATGATCAGTTAGCAGATCTCTCTCTCCCACTCATCAGCTGTGCTACAAGGTACCTTGGTTTCCCTGTATATGAAACAGGGTTTGACAATGCCTGGGAATGGTGTCTAGATGATGGAAATAACTCAACAGTTTCTAAGTTACAACTATATACATCTATTTCTTACTACATTTGATTACTCATTTTTGAGATTATTTAGGAAGTGTTTTTTTTTAAAGGAAGGAATTAAATATACACAAACCACTTTTGGCTAATCAGTGAATACTAGGCAAATTCTTTTTTTTTTTTTTAAAACTTACAGACACTTCCTGCAACTTGCCTTTAAGAGGTAGTCATCTAGGTTGTCTTTTGTGATAGAAGGATCTGTGATAAATTCAAAGAGCTCCCGTACAGTCATCACAGCAACACCATGTTTAAAAAAAAAATCTTTGGGAAGATAAGAAAAAAAAAATTAGTGACTATCTTCAGGAGAAACAAAGACACATAAACAAAGATGCTTAAATTACTCTCCTAATTCACGTATAGAAATGTGAATGATCTCCCAGAAAAAGAAATTTAAGTATCATCACTCAAAACATTTTTTTTCCTCTACAGAGTGCTAAAGTTTTGTGCCAAGGCTCACGTGGTATAACTAAACCTTCCAATGGACAGCCAGGAAAATAGAAAATTCCAGTTTCCACTTACCATTGACATTGGCACAGTCTTTCCTCAGGAACTCCAAGGCATGTGGGTGATCATGCTCCACAGACTGGGATACATCAATGATGTATACATCTCCATTTCGATACCTTAGGGATCAAAGGAAGCAATAAGCATGACCTTTCTAGCTGTTTTCTGTCCACATCCTTCTTGATACTAAACTGCTGCTTAGTATGAAGATTCCCAACCTATAAATCTACCCCAATCTATCTTCTGAATTTCAGATCTACACTGTTAACTGCCTCCTTGACATCTCTATAGAGATGTCCAATCAGAACTTCAAATACATGTCCCAAACCAAACTCAGTCCTTCTTCAAACTCGGCTTTATCTGAGGATACTAACAATTAAGTTCATCCAGGTTTGAAGTCATCCTAGGTTCAACCCTCCCTTTTCTCTGTCACCTCCCATATGCTCTCAGTTTCCAAGAACTGTCAATTCTACTTCTATAGAAGCTCTTACATTCACACTCCTCCTCCTCCACTCACATCAACATCACCAGTCTAACTGGACCTTTCTCAGTTCTTCTCTGGCCTACTGCAATAGTTCCAATTCATCAATCTCTCCCTTCTGCAGTACATCTTTCATACAACTGCCACAAATTTTCCTATGGCATAAGTCTGACCACATCATTCACCTGCTCAAAAGCCTTTGGCAGCTGCCTCTTCCCTCTGAGACAAAAAACAAACAAAAAAGCCCCTACCACTTCACTAGATCCTACCATCCCCACTCAAGTGTCATCCTACAGCTCTCCTTTCAGCCAAACTCAGAAAAAATGGTCTACACTCACTACTCCTACCTCCTTTCCTCCCAAAATCACTTTTCAACCCTTTGCAAACTGGCTTCAGGCTTCACTCAACTGAAATCGTTCTTTCCAAAATTAACGATAATTTCTTAATAGACAATTCTAACAGTCTTCTCTGTCCACACCCTTCTCGACGTCACTGCTGATCAGCTCCTCCTGGATACTCTCTTCTTTCTGGGGTTTTAATGACACTACTCTCTCTCTTTCCCGTTTCTCCTCCTATCTGATATCTCCTTTTCTGTCTCTTCTAGTGGTTCATCATCCATATCAAATTCTCCAAATGTGGGTATTTTCCAAGCCTTTGTCCTGGGGCCTTTTCTTTTCTCTCATTCCATTTTCCCTGGGTAACCTTACCAGCAACTATGGTTTAATCATATGCAGATGACTCCTACGCCTATATATCTCCAGTCTTCAGTCAAAGTCTCTCTGGAATTACTGTCCTCCATCACTGTCTACTGGCCATTTCAAACTGGAAATTCCAGAGATATCTCAAACTCAAAATGTCCAAAAACACCACTCAATCTTTCCCCTAAAACCTATCCCTTTGTCAAGTTGGCACTAATCTTCTCATCTCCAAGGTTCACAGCCTTGGTGTTATCTTCAACTCCTCCATCATGTGGTATATGTTATAATTTCTACCTTCACAACATCCCTCAAAAATTCATACCGCCTTCTTGTTTCCCAAACATTCACCGCCTTAGTTCAGGTGTTTCAACACCTCTTGCCTAGACTACTACAAGAAACTCCCAAGTGGTCTCTCTGCCCATTCCAGTCCATCCTCCACATCAGGGCTGCCAAATTCAATAGAAATTTCCCAATTACATTTTAATCTGGTTCAGACACAGGAGTGGGGGTTTTGTCTGCTGCTTGCAGTCAGCCAGTTTTGACATCGCAGCACCACACTACTGCCAAGGTGATTTTCCTTAGCATAAATCTAACCATATCACTTCCCTAATTCCATTCCAGTAGCTTGCCTTTGGGATAAAATGTGAACTCAATTTAGTTTTTAAAGACCTTCACGGGGCAGCTGGGTGGCATAGTGGATCGAGCACCTGGCCCTGGAGTCAGAAGGATCTGAGTTCAAATACAGCCTCAGACACATAACACTTCCTAGCTGTGTGACTCTGGGCAAGTCACTTAACCCCAATTGCCTCACTAAAAAAAAAAAAAAAGGACCTTTACAACAAGACCTTACCTATCTTTCTAGCTTCAGTGTACCTTATTCCTTCACCCTCACTCACTAATTCATCCAAACAGACAAAAATGTCACTCCATTGCCCACCATGCCTTTTCACTGGATATTGCTTATGCCTAGAGGATATCCCCCTTCACAACTTTACCTCACAGAATCCCTATCCCCTTTAATACACTACTCAAACACTACCCTTTATGTGAAGCCTTACCTTAGTCCCATCTATGAGTGCCCTCCTCAGCTCACACTTACTTACGTTGTATGCATTCAGTATGTACTTGTATATGTAGTTATTTCCCTCATTATAATGTAATCTTCTAGCAAGGAGGAATTTTAATTCTTTGCATCCATGTCTCCAGTGCTTTGTACATAGCAGATGCTTAATTAATGCTTGTTTATTGACTGATAGTAAGTTTTTAAATCAATACTTATCTGATTGAAGTGAAATTAATAAGGGATTCCTAATAGCACAATATCAGTTTGAAGCTTGAAGAATGAATGAGACTTCCAAGCTTCACATATGATACGAGACCACCTCCAGAAACAAAGCCTTAAATCACAATAGTGTAAGGGATACAACTTACAGCATGTTAAATTCACTGAGATCCGCATGGACAAGCCTGGCATCCTGATACATTCTTCTCATGTACTGAATAACTTGAAGATATAACTCCCGAGCCTTGGATTCCGTTAACTGGGCATTTTTCAAAAGTGGAGCAGGCCTCAATTAAAAGAAAAAAAAAAGACATAAGACACTATCATAGATCAATGACATTATTCCATTGATTCTTCTTCTCCATTATGAGAATTCATCTTATAATAAATAACCTGCTCAAAAAAATAAATTGCTTACTCCAATAGGAATTATATTCACAACACTTAGTATATTATAAATTGCATTTTTAAAGACAGGGTTACCTTTGTTACCATAGAACAATTCCTGAATTCATAACAAAGTAGAGGGTCTCAACTTTGTGTCTCATGGACCTCACTGACAGTCTACTGAATCCTATGGACCCATTCTCAGAATAATGGTTTTATATGTGTAACAGACTTAAAAAAAAAACAATTTCATTGAAATACAGTTATCAAAATTTTTTTTTTGAAAGGACACAGATACCAGGTTAAGAATCCCTGTTTTAAAGAGATTTAAAAGAATGCAATACCATTTAAACATAAAAATGACAATAAGTACTTTTAAACTAGGAAATTAAGTGTATTTTGAAATGTCTGAAATACATAAATGTAGGTTTTAAGCATACTTACATGTCGCCTTTACCAATGAAACTCATGACAAGAACATGATGTTTTAGCATGATAGGTTCTGGGCAAGGTATCTTTGCTGTGTTTAGCCTGCAACATTATAACAGATCAAAGAATACCAAGTTAAAAATTTTAAAATACAGTAAATAAACTACATAGGGGTTAGTTGGCAAAAAAAAAAATGAGTTATTTGCTTACTTATAGAGAAACACTATCACTAGCTAATAATAACAGCTGACCTGTATAACATATTTGCAAAGTGTTTACATACTTTCTCATTTGATCCTTAAGACAATCCTATGGAGTAAATACTATCTAGATTATTATTATTCCCATTTTACAAACATGGAGAGGTAAATGACTTAACCATGCTCACACTGGTAGTGTCAGAAAATGGAATGACTAAGCCTGGCACTGACAGGAACTAGGGACAGAAAGCCAAAAAATTAAACCGTCCCTGCCAGACACTGGCAAGGGCAGTGCAAGGAAGGGGGGGATGAGGGAGAACTTCTATCCATAAATACACTCAAAATGTAAACAAAGTTAACATAAAGTAATTTTGCAAAGGGTGATGAGGGAAAAAAGTACAGAAATCAGCGGAAAGCTTCATGTTGAAGATGGACCTCAAGGAATTCTGGGAGGTGATGGTGAAGAGAGAGTCCTTTGCAGGCCGAGGAGGTAGCCTATGCAGATGCATGAAGACAGAACAGGAAATAGTGTGTCTCATACAAGGCACAGCAAGTAAGCCAGTTTGGCCAGACTGCAGAGGACATGAAGTGAGAGGAGTCTGGCACAGAAGGCAGGAACCAGATGGTGAACAACTGTAAATGCCAAAGAGGAGTTTGTAATGGAGCTTGGAGGCAATTGGTGGCAGGGGGAGGAGAAAGGGAGGGGGGTGTCTTTCAAGCGGACACTGACGTAGCCGGGCTTATGCTGTGGCACATGTAGATCACGTTGACCACTATGTGGAAAGGGGAAAAACCGGCTGTGGTGAGACCGGTTAGGCTGATGCAACAGTCCAGGCAAGAGGAGATGAGGGCCTGAACTAGGGCAGTGGCTGTGTTGAGTGAAGAGAAGGGGATGAAATGAGAGATGCTGAGACAGAACTGGTAAAATCTGGCAACGAACTGGACGTGATGGGGGAAGAGAGACTAAAAGAGTGGAGAATAAGTCTCAGGTTTCAATCCTGAATCATAGCAGTACCTTCAACAGAAATAGGTAGTTTAGGAAGAAGGGTAGGTTGAAAAGGAAAAGAAATGAACTATGTTTTGACGCCTAAAGTTTGAAATGTCCAATAGGTAGTGAGCCAGATTTCCAGGTTAGCAAAGAAGATAAAAAGGTTTGCAGAAACTGGGGACAGCACGTGCTGATCTGGGCTGTTTCTAACAGGAATTTTTTTGATTGTGGGGATAATCTAACAGAAGAGACGAGAGGGAAAGGAATTAAGGGTTTATTCTAGTGAGGGAAGGACCATCTCTTCACCAGAGAACAGAATAAATGAAGAGAGAATGAGGATGATGCCAAGAATTTTTTTGGGGGGTGAGGCAATGGGGTGAAGTGACTTGCCCAAAGTCACACAGCTAGTAAGTGTCAAGTGTCTGAGGCCAGATTTGAACTCAGGTCTTCCTGAATCCAGGGCCTGTGCTCTATCCACTGTGCCATCTAACTGCCTGATGCCAAGAATTTTTGAGCTATAGAATAGGCAAGGGCTCTATGGTGAAAAGAAGCTCATGGTCAATGTCCTCTAGTTTTATTTGAGCCCAGGTCTTCCTGATTACAATTATAATAAGCTTTCCACTACAGCCCACTTCCTCTCCCAGCTATCATCACAAATTGTATTAGATATAATTGGAATCAGTATATTCAGTTTGCCAGGTTTGAAGACATGTTTCTACAAATGGCAGGATTTGTACCTAGTGAATAATACTATCTAGAGGATAGAAGACTTTGGAATGATCTTACGGTCAAATGGACCAATGAGTCACCAACAAAGGTTGATTTCACTTCATGACAAGAGGATCCAATGTTATATGTTTCTAATAGCCACTACACTGTATACAAAAATAGAAGTAAAGTATTATGAAAAGTTTGTTTGGTTTTTCAACTTAGTTGTCAAACTACTGTGATGCCAGCCCAACCAAGAGTTATGCCTTAAGTAAGGTATGGCATTTGTTTGAATTTTAGATTGTTTTACTGGACAAAAATTGGTTATCATGTAGAAGAAAGTAATAAGGAAAGAGAACTACATAACAGATCTTTTAAGAGAAAGAATGTTTCTCCACTCTGAGTCAAAGAGTTGTTTGAGAACTATACACTTACTTTTCCATGAAAAACTATCAAACTACCTTCAACATCTATTCCAAACCTCTTCTCTCCTTAAGTCCCTTATATCTCTTCTTTTCTTCCCACTTTCCTCCCTCTCAATAAATGGACTTGCTGCATTCTTTACTTTAAAAAAATTTTTTTGAGATCTCAAACTTACTCTTCTTCCCAATTCTATACTGCAAATCTCAAAATTATTCTCCATTCTTAGCTCATTTGCAAAAGCCATCCCCTCTACTTGTACCCTTTATCATACCTTTCTCCCTTCCTCCAGCTATCTGCCCCTGCAATAATCTATTTTCTCCCTAATTTCCCATCTTTCCTTATACACTAGATCCTTCCTGTTGTTTATAAACATGCCCAGATCACCCCAATCCTTAAAAAACAAAACATCTTCATCTAAACCTGAACTTTTCTCAAGTTATTATCCTATATCTTGCCTCTCTCTCACATCCAACTTGAGGAGAGGAAGGGAGGAAGAACTTTCCACAGCTTTATTTTATCACCATCACTTTTTAACTCCTTGCAATCAGGCTTCCAACCCCATCACTGGACAAACTGTTCTTTCAGTCACTGATCACTTAAAAGCAAACTTAACTTCACTATTACACAATTATTCTATACTATAAGATTATAAAATGGGTTCTTAATCTTTTTTGTGTATGAAGTACTCCAATGGCTGTCTAATAAACCCTATGGATCCCAAGTACAGTGTTATTAAAATGCATAAAATAAGATATATGGGATTATAAAAGAAACCAATTATACTGGAATATAGTTACATATTTTTTTTAAATTCATGGACCCTAGGTTAAGAATTCTTAGCTTAAATAGATCTGAAAGAATATACCATCTAAATACAAATCTCAAAATTTAATAACCCAGTAAAAGTATGTTCAAAAATTACTTTTAAATTAGGAACTTAAGCATGGATCATCAATTAAACACACTTCTCTTAGATTGATCTCTTATTGACAAATCTTATGGCCTTTTCTGAGTCTTCTTTTTCTTTGCTCTGCAACACTCCACCCTGTGGACCATCTGGACGACCTCTCTTCTCTGATTTCTATTCTCCTCTGCCTGACACTTCTCAATATACCTTAGCACTCTACCATAGCCCTGCTTCTTTTCTCTCTGTGGGTGATTTCATCAGCCCTCATGGGTTTAATTATCATCTCTATGCAGATGATGCCAAAATTTACATATCCCCAGCACTCATTTCTTCCTGAGCTCAATTCTAGCATCTCCAATTGCCTGCTGAATATCACTACCTGGACCTCCCATAAGTATGTCAAACTTCACAGGTTTAAGACAGGACTTCTTGTCCTTACCCTCTCAAAACCAATGGTTACTCCTAATTTCTTTCAGTTACCCAGCTTTATAAGCTTGGCGTCAACTTTTCCAATTCTTCCTCTAATGATAATTTCTCCCTTGAGCCTCACAGCAACCCTGTGAGGTGGCTATTACAGGTGAGGGTCTGAGAGGTCAAGTAGGTCCATGGTCACAAAGCTTAAGTGTCAGAGGCAAGATGTGAATCTAGATCTTCCTGACTCCAAGTCTCAGCACTCTTAACTACTCTTTGCTATTTCCTAATGATTATGTGGAAAGAATATGGATTTTGTCAGGGCACCTGGGTAAAAACTCCAACTCTGCTACTTATTAGCTTTACGACCTTAAACAAGTCACTTAACTTTTCTGGGCCTCAGTTTCTTTATCTTTAAATGAGGAAAGGGTATGAGATGACTTCTGAGGCTCTTTCCAGCTCTAACTCTATGATCCTAGAATCCTATAAAGTATGGCAATTTAGTTTCTATACAGATGTTTATAATTACACACATTTTTAATGTAAGCATAATTCAGAGCTTTCATTAGAATTTAAATCTTAAGCTGCCAAGAACAGCTGAACACTAGGCATACACCACCTACATCAGGTACCACCCTCATCTGGTACCACTCTCATCTGGTAGCAATTACTTAAAGTGAGGTCAACTGTTAGACAAAAGAACCTGACAGACTAGTAAAAAAAAAAAAAAAAAGACAAACAAGTTCTCATCTCTTTTGGCTGAACTGGGGCTGAAGTTTGACTTTATCCAGGTTTTTAATCATCCATGCTAATGTTCCTCTTCACTGCCATGGATAATAAAGAAAGTTGTCTCTCACTGAGTCTCTTGTTGCTAAGTCTACAAACTCAAATACCAACAGACCTCAAATGAGGTAACGGAAATGTGGACTTCTGACAAGCAAATTAAATTAAACTCATTAGAAAGCACTTGACACATTTAGACTGTGAAACCTTTGTTCTGATGGCTCTGAAAGTCAGAAAGAAAGTCTGAGAGACGGCAACTTTACTTCCTATTTAGTCAAAGATTACTTTATTGAGCACAGTCAATGGATCTAATTGTTCTTAATGGTCCTGAAATATTCTCTGCATCTGGGTCAAAATGTTCACTTGTAAAAAGGAATGGGCAGATTTCCACATATGGGCTATAATAAACAGATATACACAAGTGATAAACACAAGAAATAAAATTGTTACCTTATTAAATTCCTCATTTCCTTTTCTGCCCAAGTTTGTACCATTTTTCTGGGGTTTCCTTTACAATAGCCATGACGAAACCTGAAAAAATACAAGTAACTCAATACAGTTCCATCTTAAAATTTATAGGCACATTTCAATATTTGATGTACACAGACACAATGAAACAAACTGTAACTAAAACTCACCTGAATTCTCCACTTACATACTTATCCCTATCCTTGAACACCAAAATTGAAGTTTTATAAATCTTGATTGCTCTGTTCTCTCCATCTGTCGTGCTGGCATGATACACATTAGCCTAATGTAATCCAAAACAAAATGTACATGACTGAGATTCTGTGTGAAATAACTGTAGAACACTTAGCTATTTTGCGAATACTCTGCTGTCAAAGATAGAAAATAATTAACTTTTTTGGAATATGATGTAGAAATTTAATATGCAAATATAAACTGTACCATTCAAAAACAAACATGCATTATTACATCTACTGACATTTAAATTGGAATATATGATAAAAAGACATTTAAATGTATTTGCTCATTCATTCTGAAATTAGGCATCCAGTTATGCAGAGCATTGTGCTGGAAACTCAGGAGGAATATCATCTGAAGTTAAGACACAGACTTCATGCAAAAAATATAAATGACTATAATAAAACAACATTACTAAATAAATGAATTAGACGTAAAAACAAAGTGAAGGCTGAAGGCGCTGGTCATTATCAACAAGGACTATTAGGGAAGGTTTATGGAGGAGGTGATATGATATATTATTTTTAAAAATCTAGAGGAACTTGACAGGTGAAGAGGGAAAAAGGAGAGCATTTCAGTCATAGGAACCAGCAGAAGCAAAGGCAAAGTACTGAGAAAACAGAAGTCATATTCAAAAGATGGACAGGAATTCAGTTTGGCTGGTAATACGAGAAGAAAAGGACTTAAATGCCAAGCAAAGGAGTTTAAATTTTGTTTGGTGGGCAATAAAAATCTACTGAAAACTGAGCAGAGGAGTGACAACTACTTGGTTTACTCGTGGATTACTCGTGGAGCAAAAAAATGGATTAGAAGAGGTAAAGAGTAGAAATGGAAACAACTGTCAAGAAAATACTGCAATAATCCAGGAAGGTGGTAATGGTAGCACTATATGAAGATAGTAATGATAGCACTAGGAACAGAGAAGAGAGGAAAGGGACAGGAGAAAAAAAAAATCAATAGATTCACTACTTCACTATTCAGAAATGTTTGGAAAACTGGAAAGCAGCCCAGCAAAAACTGAGTTCAGACCAACATCTCACACTTTAAGTTCCAAATGGTACCTGACCTAGATGTAAAAGGTCACATCATTAACAAATTAGAGAAGCAAAGAAGGAAATACTTTCCCCAATTACAGATAGGGGAAAAGTTCATGACCTGTACATAGAAAGGATCACAAAAGATAAAATGGGCAACTTTGACTATATAAAAGTTTTTGTACAAACAAAATCAATGCAGTTAAAATTAGAATGAAAAGTTAACTGGAAAAAAATCTTTGCACCAAATTTTTATGATAAAGGTCTAATATCCAAGATATAAAGAATGGATTCAAATATGTAAGAATGACACCCATTCCCCAATAGGTAAATGGTCAAAAGATATGAACAGGCAATTCTCATGGGAAGAAATTATGAAAAGTTATATAAAAATTGCTCCAAGTCTCTAATTTTAAAAACTGCATATTAAAACAAATCTCAGGTTCCACTTCTTACCCATCAGATTGGAGAAATAAGAAAGAGAAAAATTGTAATTTTTGGAGGGACTAAGATAAAAAAAAGCACATCAATATATTATTGGTAGAGTTGTGAATTGATCTAGCCATTCTAGGAAGAAATAAGGAACTATATTAAAAAAAAATCACTAAACTGTGCACAGACTTTGATCAACTGATACCATTACCAGACCTATTCCTCAAAGAAATCAAAGGAAAAGTCTCTTTATGTTAACTCATTATGTTAAAATATATATAAAACAGCTCTTTTTGTAGTAACAAAAAACTAGAAAATAAGCCCAATGACTGGGGAAAGGAAGAACAAATTAAAGTATATGAATATATAGTATGATGCCATAAGAAATGACAAAAGAGACTGATTTCAAACAAACCAGGAAGAGTGATATGAACAGAAACCTGGAGAACTATTTATACAATAAAAACAACATTGAAAAGAAAAACAATTTTGAAAGACTTAACTCCAATCAATGCAATGACTAACCACAATTCCAAAGGTCCAGGGATCAAATATATCAACATCATGACAGCAAGGTTATAAATTCAAGGTACAGAATTAGACATATTTTTAAACATGGCCAATATAGGTATTGGTTTTGTTCAACTATGCATATTAGGTACAAAAGTTTTATTTTCATTTTGACTGAGAGAAGGAAAAAGAAGAGGTCAGAGTTACCAAAATGAAAAAAGGAAAGAAAAAAAAAGTATGAGGCTCATTGAAGCATTTAAAGTAATTCATAGAAGAGGAATAGAATGAAAGTCAGTAGGAAACACACATAAGCAGGAAAACTTTGAAAATAAAATGCTGAATTTATTACGTACTTGAAAGCTGTTCATAATAAATATTTACAGCATCATGTACAATCCTCTTCTGCTTTCTACAGGGAAATGCTCATCTTACTTAGTGTTAAGTTCAGAATAAAAAAAAATAAGCAAACAACAAAAACATAGGAGTGCTAAACGTGGAAGACAGTTTGCAAAGGGGTGAGGAAAGACTGGATGGTATAGATGTACCAGGTGAAAACAATGTTTAAAGGAGTTAACCAGTAAAGGAAAGGAAAGAAATATCTGGATGGAGCAGAAAGGACTTTTTTTAGGGTTAGGAAGACCTGAGTAGGTCTATAAATGGAAAGAAGCCAATGGAGAGGGAGACAAACAACTGTAGGAACATATATTTAGAGTTGAAAAGAATCTTCGATAAAGGGAAGCACTGCTGAAACAAGATCCTGGAGATGGGCAGGAATAGGATGAATGGCATCGGTAGAGGGATTAACTTAATGAGAAATAAGAATATTTCCTTTTCTGTAATATAGTATCTCTTCTTGACCATACAAATTACTCATTATCCATCCCAAACAATGTCATTAAATAACATTTAGAACTTTATTATGCATGGCATTTCTTTTGTTCTTTGTGCCGGAAGTCTACATTTTCTCCTGAAAAGAAGATAAGCTCCTTGACAAGAAGGGTCGTCTCATGCTTCTTTCTCATGTCCCATGGTACCTAGTACAGGACTAGGTGAGGACATTCAAATACTTAAACTGAATTTCTGGAGGCAGAGTGAACAAACATTTAGGCTCTCATAAAAATTCAGTATACCAATGGCAACTTAAGTGAAAACTCAGGAGCTAGAAATGTAGATCCCACCAGAAATGCTCTAGTTTGCTTTACAGTCATGAATAAAGTGCTTTGCTTTTCTGTCCAGGTGACTATTTTCAAATCTATCCTTAGTTTACAAGGGGCATGAGCACTTTACTTGGTCTTGTCCCTGGGTACCATAGTTGGAAGCTAAATGTACAGTGAACTTGTATTGGGAAATTAAAATAAGATTGGGAAATTAAAATAAAATATTACACTTTTTAAAAAGGAACTAATATACCACAGGTCTCCCCCTCCCCTCCATTTAACCAGATAACATTCAACTTGCATGAATGCTTGGAGTGGCTTATTTCTTTTACAAGTTGAATCCAAAAGAGGTTTTATCATCACCAGACATTTCTACAGTTGACTTGCAAAATAAATTTCATTGTGAGCTATGTCCCCAGAGAAGTAGTTTAAAAAAAAAAAAGGAAACAAAAACTGTGACTGTTTCCTCTCATATATATGAATAAATGGAGAAGAAAAAAAGTCACTCGTGGGAAATATTCTAATTTCTATCCCCTAGTAAATGGTTTGAGCAGGAATCAGGTACTTAGGTATTTGCCAGTCAGATGACAACAGTGAGTCAACACACTCTGAAGTGTCAGTTACCCAATCAGCACCCTATTTTGGAGCAATGACTGGAGTAGTATAAGAGCATAATTCATGTGTATAATTGTCTATCTGCTTGTACCTATCAATAAGGCCAATTCTTGCCACTTAGTAAATAAACATTTCATCCTAAAAACAAAGTCTACTCGGTTTCTAGGGGGGAAAAAACCACAGAAACATTTAACTTTCCAAAGACAAAGCTTACTTCTTTTCCTGTGCTGATGCAACCATTTATCTGTGATATGACTCCTCTGCTTAACATCTTGAACAAAGTTATTCGAGTTCTTGAATCCAGCACCTTCAAGAAAAAATGGAGAAGATTAAGACATCAAAAAGATTGATTTACCTAAACTCAAATATCATTTTGTTACTCACACCACTCCAAAATAAGACTTAAGCACAGGAGATAAAGCAATTTCAGTTGTCTCCACAGTGTTAGAATTCCAACTAAATCACAGCAGAAGAAGGCTAATCCTTAACCCACTCACTTAGCATCCTTTCACCCCCACCAGATCTGGTTGGAATCTTCAGCACAGAAGTGGTCTGTACTGCAGCAGCACTCAAAAAATTTAGGAACAGAGGAAACATAGGCAGGATGCCAGTATGTATGTGGATCCACCAGGCCTGAAGCAAAGAGAACTGTCATTAAATGGGCCAATTCATCTTTTAAGCTCCCTCACTTGCCTCTCCCCTATGACTGGAGGCCTATAAGGTACAGTAGTAAACTCCTCCCAAAGCATTCCTTTATAGGGGGCTCTGAACTTTCAGAGCTTTCCAGGTAACTTTACTTTCAATCAGCAGCTCTGTTTGATTTTTTACTCCATGAATCATCACTGCCCCTGAGCTGGGAACCTCCTGGTGGCTCCCCATCTCCCCCCCCAGTTTTCAGCTTCCTTTTTGGTATTATCTTTCCCTATTATATTGTAAGCTCCCTGAGGGCAGAGATTATCTTTAATTTTTTTTTATTTGCATTCCCAGGGCTTAGTACAGTGCCTGGCACATAGTAGGCATTTAATAAATGTTTACTGAATTGAACTGAATTAGTTCTACCCCTCAAGTACCAGATCACCTTACTTGTCTCCTGCAGAACTTGTATTTAGGCCAAGCAGCAACAGTTAGAATTGAACACAGAACAAGTGATTGGCTTAGGATCGGAAAAGGAGCACGACAAGCCTGTATATTGTTACCCTATTTACTTAAATTATATGCAGAGTACATCATATGAAATGCCAGACTGGATGAATTAAAAGCTAGATTTAAGGTGGCAGGGAGAAATGTCAACAATCTCAGATATGCAGATGATACCACTCTGATAGCAGAAAGTGAAGCATTACGCTAGCTTGAAGCTTAACATCAAAAAAAAAATGAAATTCTTGGCAACTTCCTGGCAAATCGAGGGAGAAGAAATGGAAGCAGTGTCAGATTTCATCTTCTTAGGCTCAAAGATCACTGCAGACAGCAACTGCAGCCATGAAATTAAGATGCTTAGGAAGGAAAGCTATGGCAAATCAGGAAAGCATACTAAAAAACAGAGATATCACCTTGCGTACAAAAGATCTATATAACCAAAGCTATAGTTTTTTCAATAGCAAAGTATGGCTGTAAGAGTTGGACTATAATGAAGCCGAGTGCTGCAGATTTGACGCTTCTGAATTGTGGTTCTGGAGAAGACTTGAGAGTCTCTTAGATACGAGATCAAACCAGCCAATATTTAAAGAAATTAATTCAGGCTATTTACTGGAAGATCAAATACTGAAGCTGAAGCTTAAATACTCTGGCTACATAATGAGAAGATGGGATTCACTGGAAAAGATTTGATATTGGGAAAGACTAAAGACAAAAGGAAAAGGGGATGGCAAAGTATAAGATGGATAAACAGTGTTATGGAAAGAACTAACATGAACTTGGACAGACTTCAGGAAATAGTGGAGGACAGAGGGGCCTGACATGCTACGGTCCAGAGAGTCACAAAGAGTCAGTCACAATTGAAAAACCAAAGAACAACAAACTTCAATCCCCCAGAAGTCACTAGGCCAGAGACTAAGGCCAATAGAATGTGAATTGCCCAGTGCAGGAAGAGGCTGATTCAGCTTTGAGGCCCAGCAACAAAGCTTTGAAGACTTTGATGCCAAAGTGGAAGGAGCCATAAAGTGAGGAATAGAAGAATATAAATAAAAAAGAAATTACCAAAGATCTCAGGAGAAAGAAAGCTCAAAGACCATAAGCAAAAACTGAAAAACCAAAAGGAATAATAGTAACAGCAGGGAAGATGGCCTTCAGATCATCTAAATGAGCATTAACATCTTTGAAAAAATATTACAAGACAAGAAAACAAACCAATACCAAGAACGATCTAGTGAATTCCCAAGGGAGCATGAAAACACAGAAGGATATTCCCAAATTGCTTAAAAGAGAAATGAGAATTGTCAAAGCAGAACTTATGATCTACACAACAAAAATACTTGGTAGAATATAAAAATTTGAATCCACACTGTCAAACCTCACCAAAGAAATAAAATGAGAGCACAACAGATAGAGAATGCAAATACACAGAAGTGAAAGGTAATTAGGAAGAAGGGCTAAAAACAATAATGATAAAAAAAAACATGATCTTTATACAAGAAAATACATTGACCTAGAAGATAAGATATATAAGGACAACTGAAGCATCATTCATCTCTCACAGTACAAAAAACTAAAAAAAAACTTGATCATGCAAGAAATACAAAAAAAAAAATCCAGAACTTCTGAACACAGAAACCAATAAACACAGTACCAATCAAAAGAATCTATAGATTGCTTCTAGAAAAAAATCCTATGCTTAAAATTCCAATTAAATTTAAATTTAATCATTTAAATGATAAATTCTGCAAACAATCAAAAGCAACCCTTCAAATATAAAGGAAAGGAAATTTGAATATGACAAGACTACACTGTACCAACCAGAAACAGCAGGAAGGAATGGAGTATGTTCCAAAGAGCAAAGAAGCTTAAGATGAACTGCAGAGTGGCACACCCAAAAAACCTGAGCCCATTCTTTAGTGAATAGCAAAAGTTCAATAAAAAAGAGGAATTTGAAACAATCCTACAAGAAAACCAGACTAGAATTATTTGCTTTGCAAACATCCCAGACGACAGAAAAACAAGAAAAGTAAATTAATACAACCACGGTAAAGAAAGTAATTATATCCTCAGGGGATAAATACTAAAAAGATAAAAACAGTTATGAAGTTAACAACAAAAACAAAAGGAGACCACAGATTTCTTTGTAAAAGTACACAGGTAAATAAGGGTGAAAGCTAAGTCAAATATAAAGTAGAAAAAACACAGACTACATCTCAACATCATAGATTATGTCTTAACACCCCACCTACAACTGAATCAATTTGTGTGTGTGAGAGACTAACCTGAAAAATGGGAGGATACATAAAAGGAGAGGGAGGAGTAAGATGATAAAGGAAAATGTTATGTATCCTAATCAAGTCAATGGTTAATAATGAAGGGAGAATGACTCCTGTGGTCTCTCAGGAAGAAGAGGGCCTATAGGAGAATGAATACGGACAAAGTGAGAGAAAGAAAAAGGGAAATCTTTTGATGGGTGGGAGGTGGTGAAAATAAAATAAAAATGACAATACTACCAAAATTAATTTACACTTTTACTGCTATGCCAATCAAATTATCAAAGGGATACTTTATAGAACTCAATAAAACAATCACAAAATTCATTTGGATAATTAGAAGATATAGAATATCAAAGGAAATAAGAAAGAGATGTACAGATGAAGACAGAATATTCCTTCCAGACCTCAAACTATATTATAAATTAGCTATCACCAAAACCATTTGGCACTGGGTTAAAAAATAGAGAAGTAGATCAAAAGAACAGACTAAATAAGGTAGAATCAGAAACAATGTAACTCAATAACGCAATATTCAATAAACCAGAAAACATTACTGAAAAAATTATTTCTTAAGAAATACTAGGAGAGGACTTCTGCTTCCGGGAGTCAAGATGGCGGAGTAAGAGGTGAGTCTCTCTTATCCTCCCTTATTAACCCCTGAAAGCCCAGAAAATATCACCCCAGGAAAAACCCTGGAACAGATGAACCAGAAGAAAGATGGGGTCCAGCAGTCCAGTAGCCCAGGTGGCTTGAAGAATTAACTTCCCCCTCTGGGGGAAGGGGAGCAGTACAGAACAGGAGGCATCCCTGCAAGCTAGTGGAAAGTCCCACCTCAGCATACCAGGAGGAGACCCTGAAGCCAGGTGGTGGAGCAAGCAAACACCAACACCTGGACCCCCAAGTGCCTCATTGAGGGCGGGGGAACTGGTGGAAACCAGCTCAGAAAACCACCAGGTGCCTCAGCATTCTACAGCAACCGGCTCTCCCAGTGCTTCAGCAAAACTAAGGGAAGCAGTACTCCAAGTGGACCCAGGTGGATAAATACCCTACAATATCCATCTGAAAGGAGCTGAAGAAAACAAAAGGAAGGAAAGGCCTGGGTAAGCAGGAAATCTCCAGGAGTCACACTACCCAATCCTACCCCTAGAGTTCAGTGTTGCTGTTTCCAGTCCAACACCAGGTAAGCTGCCAGAATTCTACAGCCTCCAACTGCCAACAATGAAAGTGCCAGCACACAAAGCCATCGACCAGGCCCTAGGTTCCCAACACAAGAAGCTTGGGTCAGTGCCCTCTGCTCCCCAGCAGGAGAGCCCAATCTCTTTAAAGGCCAGAAAATAAGCAAACACCATGAGCAAAAAGAAACATACGATAGGCTCTTATTATGGGAAGAGTGAAGATCAAGGCAGAAATTCTGAAGAGGACAACATTGTCAACAAACCCATATCTGGAACCTCAAAAGGGAATATGAAGTGGTCTGAAGCGCAAAAAGCCTTCTTAGAAAGCTCAAGAAGGATTTTAAAAGTCAAATGAGAGAGGTAGAAGAAAAAATGGGAAAAGAAATGAGAGGTATGCAAGAGAGAGTCAATAGCTTGGAAAAGGAAGGACAAAAATTAACTGTAGAAAACAAGTCCCTAAAAAATACAATTGGTCAACCGGAAAAAAAGTACACTGAAGAAAACAAGTGAAGGAGGTACAAAATCTAATAGAAGAAAACAATTTGTTAAAAATTAGAATTGAGCAAATGGAAGCTAATGACTCTATGAGAGCAAGAATCAGTCAAACAAAAACAAAAGAATGAAAAAATAGATGAAAACATAAAATACCTCATTGCTAAAACAACTGATTTGGAAAATCGATCCAGGAGAGATAATTTAAAAATTATTGGTCTATCTGAAAATCATGATGAAAAAGAGAGCCTGGACAGTATCTTTCAGGAAATCATAAAGGAAAACTGCCCTGAAGTCCTAGAACCAGAGGGCAAAATAGCCATAAAAAGAATCCAACGATTGCCTCCTGAAAGAGATCCCAAATTGAAAACACCAATGAATATAGTAGCCAAATTCCAAAATTACCAGGTCAAAGAGAAAATACTGCAAGCAGCCAGAAAGAAACAGTTTAAATATCATGGAACCACAGTCAGGATCACGCAGGACCTTGCAGCTTCTACATTAAAAGACTGTAGGGCGTGCGATATGATATCCCGTTAGGCAAAGGAGTTTGGATTACAACCAAGAATCAACTATACAGCAAAAATGAGCATGATCTTTCAGGGGAGGAGATGGATATTCAATGAAATAGGGGACTTCCATACCTTCCTGATAAAAAGACCAGAGCTCAACAGAAAATTTGATCTTCAAATACAAGACTCAAGACAGACATAAAAAAGGTAAACAGGACAGAAAGAAACAACATGTTATTAATGAGGGCAAACTGTTTACATCCCTGCAAGGGAAGATGACACTTGTAACTCTAGAGAACTGTATTGTTATTACACCATGTTAAAGGGGTATATATAAAGGGAGTGGGTATAAATTGACTGTGATTAATGATGGAAAAAAATCTAATCAAGTGGGTTAAATGGATCCAAGTAAGTGAATTAATCTGATCTAATTAAGAAAATGTACTGAGAGAAAAGGATTACATCACAGGAAAAGGCACAAAAACCTATTACAGCAGAGAGAAAGAAGGGAGGGAGATGAGCACTGTTTGAACCTTGCTCTCATCAGATCTGGCTCAAGAAGTGAATAACAATCAGTTAGGTAGAGAAATCTAACATGCCCTATAGCCAGTAGGAGGGAAAAGGGGAAAGAAAAGGGAGGGGGCTAATAAAAAGGAGGTGGGACTGAGGGAGGAGGTGGTCAAAAGCAAAACATTAGTGAGGAGGGAAAAGGAAAAAGAAAAGCATAAACAGGAGGGGAAAATGATGGAGAGAAAGACACAGTAATCATAATTGTGAATGTGATATATGAATGTAATAGAATACTATTGTGCTATAAGAAATGATGAACAGGCAGACTTCAGATAAACCTGGAAAGACCTGAATGGTTTGATGCTGAGTGAAGTGAGCAGAACCAGGAGAATGTTGTACACAGTAACAGCCACACTGAGTGATGACTGACTTTGATAGACTTAACCCCTCTCAGCAATGCAAGGATCTAAGACATCTCCAAAAGTCTCATGATGGAAAATGCTATCCACATCCAAAGAAATAACTATGGAGTTTGAATGCAGATCAAAGCATACTATTTGCTATTTTTTTCTTCTCTTGTGTTTTGTTTCCTCCTTCTAGTGGTTCCTCGTAGTAGTTCTAATACTTAATTACAACATCACTAATGTGAAAATATGTTTAACAGGAATGTATGTGTACAGCCTATATTAGATTGTGCTCTGTCTTGGGGAGGGAGGGGGAGAAAAATTTAAAACTCAAAAGCTTATGGAAGTGATTGTTGATAAATTAAAATAAATTAATAAAAAGAACAGTTCATGACAAACTATTTCCTTTAAAAAAAAAAAAAGAAATACTAGGAAAACTGGAAAGTAGAAATTAGGCTTAGATCAACTGTTGTTGTTTAGTTATCCAGTTGTCTCCAACTCCTCATGACCCTGTATGGGGTTTTCTTGGCAAAGATACTGGAGTGGTTTGCCATTTTCTTCTCCAGTGGATTAAAGCTAATAGAAGTTAAGTGACTTGCCTAGGGTCACACAGCTCCTAAGGGTCTGATTTGACCTCAGGTCTTCTTGACTCCAGGTCCAGCACTTTTATCCACTAAGCCACCTAGCTGACTCCACTTTACACCACATTCCACAATATATTCTAAATGGATACATGTCATTAAGGACTATGTCACAAACAAAAAAAAAAATCAAGAGAAATAGAGCATATATCTTTCACAGCTATAGGTAGGAGATATATTCTTAACCAAATAAGGGATAAAAATAATCACAAAAGATAAAATAGATAAATGATTACATGTAAATGAGAAAGCTTCTGGAAAAAATAATGCACCCAGGATAAGAAGAGAAGTGGACAAATGAGAAAAAAATTTGAATTTTTTGGTAGTTTTTATGTATCTTGAATACCAAATCTTTAACACATATATATGAGAGTATACAGGATGTCCCAAAGTCTTAGTGCAGGTTTAAGTCACTAAAGCTTAAAACTGCACCAAGACATATATGTGTGTGTATGTGTAAACTATAAAACCAAAATTCATTTCCCAAAATGTAAATGATCAAAGGGTATGAACAAACAGTTCTCAAAAGAGAAATTGCAAACTATTAACAACTATATGAAAGAATATTCCAAATCATTAACAAGAGAAATGCAAATCAAAACAACTGATGTTTCAACCCATTCCCTGCAAATTAGTACTACTGGCAAAAGATGGGGAAGAGTCAACACTGGAAAAAGATAGGCATACCAGTACACTCTTGGTGGAGCTATGTATCGGTATAACCATTTTGGAAAGCAACCTGGAATTATGCAAATAAAGTGAGTAAAATGCTCATACCATTTGACCAGAGATTCCACTAATAGACTCATACCACAAAGAGGCCACTTATAAGAAGTTCCCAAAGACACCAAAATACTTATAGGAACACTGTTAGTGATAGCAAAAAATTAGAAACAAAGATGTCCATTGACCAGTGGATACCTAAACAAATTGTGGTAAATAAATATAATGGAATATTACTATGTTGTGATGAATATGATGAAGCATGGAAAGATCTACACAAACTGATACAGTGTGAAATAAGCAAAGTCAAAAAAAACAATATAAACAATGATTACAAGATCGAATGTTAAGAACCACCACACAAAAAAAATTAAAAGTGAAGGCTGCAAAATTGCAAAGAACAAGCATGGCTCCAAAGAAAACATCCAAGACATCTCCACCCCACCTGAGGTACACAAGTATGGTACACATTGCACATGCTTTCAAAATTCTGTGACATATTGATTAGTTTTGCTGATTTTTTCCCTTTAAAAAAAATATCATTTGTCATATGGGGTAGCCTAGCCCTCTGGGAGGAAAGAGATAGTGGGGAAAATGTTAGTGATTTTTTAAAGAAAGATATCAATAAAAATTTATTTCTAAAAGGAAAATAACAAATATTCATTCAAAACATTTTAAAATGGTACCTGTTCCACCGTTGCTCTGTCTGCCTTATCTTTAACCCGATACCTAACCAAAAGAAAAAAGATACATGAACATACATGTGATGTCATAAGTAGTTGTCATATTTTAATGAAATAAAAACTAAACAAAATAGAAGCAAAAATTACTGCATTGCTTCATTAAAAAACCCAAGCAGCTTCCTTACCCATGGGCAGACTTACGTTTCTCTTATTTCCAAGTTCTCCTCCTATGATACTGACTTCCTATTTCTTTTATTCTTAGTTCAGTTTGTACATGTCCACCTCCCTTCAGTTTGCCTTCTAATACTTCCCTTCACCATCACTCTCATACAAGGAGCAGAGGGAAAGGACTGACCTTTGAGTCATAGGATCCCAGTTCTAATCCCAGCTCCGTCACTTATCATCTATGTAACTTTGAGCAAGTCACTTAAAATCTCTGGGACTTGGTCTCATCACCTCTAAGCAACATGGTTGAAATGTATGGTCTCCTAAGGTCCCTTCCAGCTCTAGATGGAATCTTATAATCCCACAAAGGCAGAAATTCTGAGAAGAAAGAAAAAACCTCACTTCACAGCCAAGAGACATCCTGATCAATCTTCTTTAAAGGAAGAAGCGTTAAGGAAATCAAGTAGCTGGAACTTATAGATACATCAAGGCTTTTTACAATAAATGGTACATAACATTATTAAGAGCCAGCAATTTTAATAAGTGTTTGACTGTCAGCAGTAGATAAAATGCTAGACTTGAAGTCACCCAAAGCCAAGCTCAAGACCTGCCACTAACCCTTACAATCACTTAACTCACTGAGTCTACTTTTCTCATCTATAAAATGGGCATATTTCCTCTAATACATACTTTGCAAGATTGCTGTGAGGCTCAAAGTGAGGCTCTGCAAACTTTCAAGTAGTATATAAATGTCAATACCACCATTTAATTCACAGAATGCTTGGATTTCAGGGCTCTAGGAGTCCATAAGGAGAGAGGAAAACTCAACTTTTTCATTTCAGTTCATGGAATGGGTGTTGCCTCACACAAACTGAGATGAGACCTGGGAAAGACTTTAACTTAAAAAGGCCAAGGTTTCCCACTGCACTGGGGGGCCATCACCAGTCGTCCTGACCTATGTCTTGCTACTGGATTCTGATGACTCTGGAGAAGAGAGGCTGATGACTTTGCACAGCCCTGCCTTGCTTAACTCCAATTCACGTGCAAGTCAAGATATCGCCCTCCTGATGTCACTGGTCCTCTTTGAGAATGAAGGATGAACAACAATCAGCTATCTTAGATGCCAGTCTCTAACTTGGTTTCACTTCTAACTTCTTAAGAAGAGTATTTTGATTTGCAGAGTAGAAAGAACACTGGGACTTTAACTCAGAAAGCTTGTCAAGCCTGCCTTCAAGCCCTAGTTCTGCTGCTAAGTAGTGGCATGCCATACTCTTCTCCCAGTCCCTTAATCTGTTAGGCTTTGTCATCTGTAAAATGAGGATGCTGCTACTTCTTCTGCCTTGTGAGTTTATTATGTGAATCCAAAATAATAATTTACACAAATACCTTCATAACTATTAAGTGCTCCATGTCAATTACTGTCATGGTAATTTAATGAATAACAAGATTTATAAAATAAATTCAAGTGTCTACTAAATTTCCTTTGTGAAATTCAAACATTTATGACATATAGGCCTGCTTTCATAGAAAGCCATGATCCTAAATCAGGACTGAACCTCTCGTAACAATGAAAGGAAAGCATTTCAGGAACTCAAAAACTTGAATCTATAACAATAAGTTAGAAAGTTCTCAAAGTATTACTTACATATCTGCCTCCTTTTGTCTAGTCTTTTCAGTGACTTTATTTATAACAGAATCAGCAAGATTAAGTTTATCTAAAAGAAAAATGAGGTGACCGCAAAAAAAAGTTTTAATTTAGGGAAAAAAAATTAAAAAACAGCTGACTTTTCTATTTTGCCTCTGTATCTGAAACTGGTCAAACAATCCAAGATATACTAACCAATGACCGTATCTGTATTTGAATCACTAGACTTCCATTAAACTGAAGCTGCTTCAAGTTAGGCTACAAACATAAATCAGAATAAATTAATGTAAGTCTGATTTCTAGGAAGAACTTCAACTTCCATTCAATGCTAAAATCGAAGGACTAGAGACAACCAGAAGCTCTATCAATCTATTTCTGAGAGATAAGCAAGACCATATGGCATTTTTCAAAGATACAGAAACAATCTAAGACTTCTAGTTAGCATCTGAGACAGTGAGGAGTTCAACAGGCATTTTCAATTAAATTTAATTAAGTACTACTAATCAGCCTAATGTTTGAAGAAAAACAGGCATGAAAGATAAGAAAAACTGAATTTTATCATTCTTACATTCTCAATACAGTTGTAAAAGGTTAAGCTCCATTAAATCAGACACTTACTCGCACAGACTCTAACTAGAATATGTGAAGCCTTATTGTTTCAAAACTGCGTATGTTTCTATCATATCTGAGGAAACAGAAAAGGGAGGAAATTCTTTCTGGCTGTCCTTAATTACAATTTGAGTCTTACTTCTGTGTAACCAGTTACTATCACTTAAATTCATCTCTCAGCATTTACAAACTCACCTAGATTAATTTTGTTCTCAAATTTCCTTAAGGCCTTGTCCGCTGGAGTCGACATTTTTGCTGAGTTGAAGTGACTTGGCTGTCGGTTAGCCTAGAAGAGATGTAGAAAACTTGCTTATAACATGAGTGGAATATTCAATTATTAGGACCTACATTTGTACCCACATTTTGGTGTGTGTGTGTGTGTGTGTGTATAAAGGGTAGCGAACCATCAGTGAGGTTTTCTTAAAAAATTTTAAAGAATGAGGAGGAGGATGAAACCTAATGTCTAATGAGGATTCCAGATGATCAGAAGCTTTCATCTATCCATGTCATAGTATGTCCCTGATTACCATAAAGGAGTTAAGAGTTCAATTTCAGTAATTTTTTCTAACTTGATGGGCTTATCTAGCCAAACCTTTAGAAAAGAGCATTTACCCCAAATGACACAAAAATGGATCAACTTAATGCTAACATTCATTAGACAGAGAGCATCTGAAAAACACCATTTTGGACAATGCCATCTAGCTTAGGGCTATGCCAAATGCTTTAACCTTTCCTCTCAACAAATCCTTTCTGAAATTCTCAAGCAAAACTGATTTCTGCTATCTCACCTTTCCTGAGGGAAGCTCCCTAAAGACAGCCTAGTAAGTATTCAAACAGATCTATGACCTCACCAATTCAGGAGCAACTTCCAACAATGCAGATCACAACCTACTGATGACCACCTAGCCTGTGAAAGTCTTATTCATGTTCACCTATGAGTTCACCACAAGGTGTTATCTTACCATGCCAAGGGCCCTCCTTGCTTTCTTTCAACATCATGTTGAAATATAAATACCAATATCAATGAAGCACTTTGGTTGTTCACCTATTTATCTCTTGCTTTCAACTTACGACCAACCCATCTCATTTTCTATCATACAATTCTTCAGACACCCTTTACCCTTGGTTCCTCTTTGGAGTTACTACTGGTCATGTATAACAGCCTGCTTGTCAGCATCACATCACTCTCTGATATTTATCTTCAGTTCTTTGGACATAGTAGTGTTGTTCTATAACTCACTGCTGCTGTATAGCAACACCAGTAAAATATGAATATTAAAAAGGTGGGTTGCTGTATAGCAACACCAGTATTAAAAAGGTAGGTCTTTGCTTTCATATGAAGCTTGGGGTCACTAAAAAAGCTTGCAATTCCCTAAAAGTCATTCAGTCCTCTCTTCCCCTCCTTTTCAAATCTGATTCCAGCTCACTATCTATCTGACTATATATACCCTGTTGGACAACTTTTATTGAGTTGTTGAAATATGAGCATTCTTCGTGCTGAGCACTCTTCATTCATTCTTCCAAAAGACATTCTTCATCAACTTAGTGTTTCCTGTATGAATGAACAGGCCAAACTCCTTTGAGTGATTACACATCTTTCAGGAGGCTCTGCCATACCCTGGGGGATGACGCAGTCAGCCCAATGCCATCTGCAAACAGGACCATCTAGAATACCTCATCGTCAACAGAAACGGATGGACACTGCACTTGTATCTCTTCCCATCATCACAGTGGGGAATCTTTGGTGAGAATACATCTGCCTGTTTTATGCTTCCACTGACATTTCTTGTCATTGAACAGACTTACTACTGTTATCGCATCTTCCAAAGAATCTTGAATCACAATGTATGAAGTGACATTTTTCTATAGAAGAGCTCATATGGTGGTATATATGTTCTATCAAATCAAATGATTTTTTCATAATTAACAATTAGCACAGTGGGCTCATATATTCTTCACATTTCAGTTAACTGTGAGATGGTAAAGACATGCTCCAATGTTGACCATCACTTCAAAATGCCTGCTTTGTTTTCCAATGATACTTTCATTAAGGAAGCCCTTAATGTATGTATGTATGTGTGTGTGTAGGTATATATATGCCCACATATCTATTTATTTATACAAAACTCTCAAAGATTTTCCATAGATGAGAGAGCAAGAATATAGGCCAGCAGTTAACTGATCTCTTCTTGGTTACTTTTTTTCCAGTATTAACAAGATTCCAGATTTCTCCACATCTTTGGTATCATTGTTTCTTTCTATCTTCTCCCTCTTTTAGACACATCCCTATTACTTGTATATCAAATATAGAAACCTCAATTTGACTTCCAAAGCCATTCATAACCTGATCCATTCATACCGTCCTACTCTCACACCTCACTCCCTTCCTCCTTGCTGTTCCTCACACAAGACACACCATCTCCCAATTCCAAGTATTTTCATTGTTATTTTCCATGTCTGGGACTCTCTCCCTCCTCAGCTCCACCTCCCAGGCTGCACTGGCTTCCTTCATATTTTATCTGTAGTCCCATCTTCCACAAGAAACCTTCCCAGTCCTCCTCAATCTTAATCTCTTCCCTCTGAGACTATCCCCTAGTTATCCTATATTTATCTTGTTTAAACATAGTTATTTGAATATTGTCTCCTCCATCAGATTGTGAGCTCTTTTGAGAACAGGTGTTTTGTTTTTTTTTTTACCTTTCTTTGTATTCGCAGCACTTAGCTTTTTGACTAACTCACAAATGTATTGCCTCTTTACATACTTGATCCATTCCAAATATTTTTTGTGTTCTTAATTCTCTTCTGGTGCCCTACCACTTCGGCAAGCACCTCAGAGACTGAGGTTGAGGTCCAAATGCAGTAGTTCCATTTTCCTTGATAGAGAAGTTTGATAAAACCGTTTCTGCAAATATTTTGCGTTTTCTATTGGTAGTCCTTGAACTTTCTTCCTTGAATGGCCTTGGGATGATTGCTTAGTTGGATATCTTGCCAAGTTTTCTTTAAAATGGTTGCTACCCACTGTTTCTCTCTTTTTTTTTTTTTTTAGGCAATTGGCTTCTCTCTCCTTTTTAAGAGGATACTGCTCTTGTTTGCCACCCTTCTTCGTAAGGATTTACAAGATAGGTTTATATTCTAACCTGATGTTGCCTTTTGCAGCCATCTATCTCCAATTGGCAACAACTCAAGAGACTTGCAGACAGGGGCTCTCTTGTTCTCACTATTGTGTTAATTTACATTGGTTAAATTCCTTGATGAAATTATTATAGTTGGTGTTTCTGCCCTTTTTGTTGTCTGTGAGACAAAGAAACATTAAAAATGGCCCTCAGTCCTATGTTCTAATTCTGCAATGGTGGCAGAGTAGGAAGAGGAAGCAAGTAGAGGGTGCTAAGAATTAGTTTTGGCATCACCAAACTTCAACCTCACTAAATGTGATACCCTTATCCAATGATCAACAAGTAGATATATTATTTCTGGAGGAGTTGAATCACATCAATTTTGACATTCTTGCTATAAACAAACCCAGAAGAAAGAAAAAAGTTGCAGCTAAATAGAAGGTGGGATCATTGGTATTTCTTGCCAAGTCAAAGAAAGGTGCTGGCAGATTTTAGCATATACCCAAATACTACAAAAAAACACTCTCATTGGACAATTGGTCACCATGTATTGCAGTACTAATGTTAAGTAGCTGCTGAAGACACTCATGAAAATAATATCAGCTCTATAGATTCTACAAAAAAGGTGATAGGACCTTCCAAATCAAATCAACATACACTGATATTTGGTGACTTCACAAAAATGAGGAAGGGTGAGGTGTGATGAAATATGGGAATGCATAGTTCAGGAAAAAGTAATGAGAGGCTAGAGACTTATAGACTACACAAAAGCTTCATGCCTCTAAATCCACGAACACACTCTTTGGGGAAAAGGTACTAGATGTACCAAGTACCAAATGACACCATAAAAACGAAATAGGCATTTTAGCAGAAAGGAGAAAATGTGTTATTCATATAGGAATTATTATTGAATTAGCTGTGTACAGTCAGACCACTAACTCAGAGCTAAGGTTAGAATTTGAGATGAGAGGGTGAGGGATGGGAAGAAACAGTGGGAATGAATAATAAAGAGATATGACAGACAAATAAAATAATTTAACCCTGAATTACTTAAATAAGTCAGTGAAAGTGGGAATACTTCATGCTTCCCACTGCTACTTCCATACTCTCCTTCTACCACTCGTGGCTTACCAAACCCTGCCAACCGGATCACTCCAATCATTTGTTTCCTTTCCTCCTATTCACATACTGCTAAATAGAGGCGGAGGGAGCATGATATCTATGTTGACTAAGCTTGCTACAAATTTGTTATAGAATCTCAACTGGGCCCTCACTGCAACAAAACAAAATTCCATTCCTCCTTAATTCATTCACTACCCCACTTTCCACAGCAACTATTCCAAACCTCACATTCCTTCAACCCTCCCACACCATCAAAAGATTGAGACCATTTACCTTAAGCCCCTTTCCCTTCCTCCTCATCTAATATCATTCAGCATTTCCTTTAAACTATTTTCTCCTTCACTGTGGCCTTGCTTCTTGCCAAGGCCAACTCTTCTATGGGCACTCTTGACCTCAACCCCTTCTGTCCTCTTCAGCTGAATGATCCCACTGTTAATCCTTCCTCTCCCTCCCCCCCAATCTACTAGCTGTTTCCCAGCCAGCTACAAACATCCTCCAGTCTCTCTCATCCTTTAACAAAAAAAAAAAAAAAAAAGCATCACTTAATCCAACCATCACTCTAGCTACTGTCCTGCATTTCTCTTCCCATTCCTCTTCTCTTGTCCTCTTCTAAACCCCATGCAATCTGGTTTCTGATGTCAGACACTGACTAGCTGTGTGACCTTAGGCAAGTCACTTAACCTCTTTTGGCATGTTTCCTCTTCTATAAATGGTGATAAGAGTAACAACCAACCTCACTACTACATGCCACAAATGGAGGCAGTGAGATCCAGTAACAAGAACATTGGACTGGGCCCTCCAATTTCAAATTCTACCACTAAATTTACTGCTTGAGTGACCTCGGGCAAGCCCCTGACCTCCTGCAAAACACAGGGTCTGGAACACATGGGCTCTGAGGTCTCTTTCAGTTCTAGATCAATGACCCAAGGTGCATATCACCTCACCTTTCAAAAACCAGAATAAAAACTGAACAGTGTAGGGGTCTGCAGGTGTGAAAGCTTGCATATTATGTCATACACTGTAAATGAGTTGGCTTTGCTGAACTGGTTTTTTTCCCTTTTCTTCTTTGTTTCAAGGGAAGGCTATATTTGGAAATGAATGGAATGTTAAAAACAAAATACAGAGACAGAGAAAAATGAATTAGCAAGAAGAGAAAATCATTCTAAGACAATCTTTTCTAGTTACTAAGCTCTAGAGCAGAATCTACATTTCAAAGGGTCAATGAATTTGGACAGGAAAGAAATTACATCTTTATTTTCACTAACCTTTTAACTGAATTTTATCATTTCCTCTGATTCTGACTGTAGGCAATAAAACATTCTGAAAAGGGGTCCAAGGACTTCACCTAACTGCCAAAGCAGACCATGACAGCAAAAAGGTTGATTGATCTTGTTTTAGAGCTATATAGTAGATGAAAGCTTGTATTAAGAAGAAATAGGTACATACTAGAAAGGCGTCAAAAACTCATTGATAAAATACCTGTGGGTTACTCCCTCCAGTTGAAGAAGAGCCCTTAGTAATTTTCCCAACTTCATCATCCCAGTCCCAATCATCATCATCATCATTATAATCTTCATAATCCTCATAATCATCTTCCTGAATTTCTTCATCAACCTCATTCAAAGTCTGGTGAGAATTTTTAGATGCATCTTCCTCCTCTTTGCTTGTTTCCACGCCAGCCATACTTCCACTAAAAACAGTAATTTCACAGGTAGTGTTACATGCAATCTAAGATAAAGTGACACAATGCCACAAGTGTATGAATCTCAAGTCATTATGAAATTTAAGGCATTTGTACTTCCATTTAATAAGAGACATTTTTATGCAAAGAAATAAAAACTTAACCAAAGTTAATTTTTTAAAATAACAACTACACCTATCAGATTGGCTGACATGACAAAACATGAAAATGATAAATGTTGGAGAAGATGTGGGAAAATTGGAACACTAATGCATTGTTGGTGGAGTTGTGAAACGATCCAACCATTCTGGAAAGCAATTTGGAACTATGCCCAAAGGGCTATAAAATTATGCATACCCTTTGACCCAGCAATACCACTTCTAGGTCTGTATCCCAAACAGATCATAAAAATAGGAAAAGGACACACATATACAAAAATATTTATAGCAGCTCTTACTGTGGTGGCAAAGAATTGGAAATTGAGGGGATGCCCATTAAGTGGGGAATGGCTGAACAAGTTGTGGTAATATGAATGTAATGGAAAGTATCATGCTACAAGAAATAACGAGCAGGCCAACTTCAAAAAACCTGGAAAGACTTACATGAACTGATGCTGAGTGAAATGAGCAGAACCAGGAGAACACTGTATACAGTAACAGCCACACTGTGCAATGACTAACTTTGATAGACTTGGTCTTCTCAGCAACCCAAGCATCTAAGACAACGCCAAAAGACTCATGATGCAAACTGCTATCCACATCCAGAGAAAGAACTATGAAGTCTGAATGCAGATGGAAGCACACTATTTGCTCTCCTTTTCTTTTGTTGTTTTGTTGCTTCATTCTCATGGTTCCTCCCATTAGTTCTAATTGCTCTATACATCATGACTAATGGGAAAATATGCTTAATATGAATGTATAAGTACAGCCTATATCAGACTGCATGCCATCTTGGGGGGGAGAGGTGGTGGAGAAAATTTAAAACTCAAAATCTTACGGAAATGAATGTTGAAAACTAAAAATAAATAAATTAAAAGTGAAAAAACAATAACTAAACTTTTAAAAATACAAGTTTAACTCAGGATGAAGATTAAGACGTATATTTATGGCCAAGGAAGGGATTTATTTTGTTTCACTATGCATATTTATCACAATGTTTCTGGGCTTTTTTTCCCCCATGGAAGGAGGTAGACAAAAGAAAAAAAAAGATTTATTGTTAATTGAAAACTTTAAAATGTTGTTTTAAAAAAGGCACAAAATGCAATATTTTGAGACATATGGAACCAATGTACACAATAGTGTGTTTACGACAACATTGCAATCCTAAGCATATCAATAAAATGCCAATGTAGCCTTTGAAAACACCACATAAAGACCATGCCAAAAAAAAAAAAAAAAAGTGAAATAATGCCAGAAGGCTCATGATGAAATATGCTACTCCTACCTCTTGAAAGAGAGGAGATGGACTCAGGGTACAAAATACACAGGATGTCCCACAGTCTTCCTACAGTTTTTTTTTTTTAACTGCACCAAGAATTTTAGGACACCCTGTATTTTTTGGACAAGTCCAATGCAGAAGCTGTTTTGCTTGATTATACTGGTTATTTTATTTCGTTGTGGGGCGTGGAGGGGGTGAAGGATGGGAGAAAGAGAAAAACAGATTATTCCTAATCGAGCAAACTTAATTAAAATAAAATTAACTCAATGACACACTTGAAATGATGTGCTTTGATCACAAAGACACTACACTACCTGATCCAAACACATAGGATAGGTTTGCAGGATCCTGGGCTCTGAAAGAGCCCAAAGAGTGCCTGTGTATGGAGGCAGCATGTAGCTACTTACAGCTACTTACTTCCTGAAGGCGGGGCGGAGGAGGAGGGTTGGAGAGAGAGAAAGGGAGAGGGAGACGGAGCCCGTGAGCGCAGCGGGAGAGGGGCCGCGGCTCGGCCCAAGCCCCACGCACGCCGCGCGGCTCCTCTCACCTGTCAGAGGAGTCAGCATCATCGAACTGCCCCGGGACCGCCCGGCTCATGAGCTGCTCCCGGTAGTTCATGGCGGATGTGCTCGCCCACCGGGCCTGGATGGAGTGCGGCTGGAATGGGAGGTTGCAGTTCCTCTGGGCTCCCCGGCTCCGAGGGTCCTCGCGCCACTTGTCGGGGACACCACTTGTCGGGGACACCACTTGTCGGGGACACCACTTGTCGGGGACACCACT